CAATATGTGTTTTCCACATCTCCATCGCTAATGGCCCATCCGATTTTAATGTTGTTCTTGCAAACACTTACCATCCTTTCTCTCAAGTCTGCCTCCTTTGTCGCCGCCCGCTCTTTCTCCTCTTACTGTCCTCCACCCCTTCTCCTCTTCCATTCACATTTCCTCCTCCTCTGTTTCCCTTCCTCCTTGCCTATATCATTCCCACTCTCCTTCCTTATCCCGTCTCGGTCGCTCCCTCCCTCCCTCTCTCTCGCCATTCCGTAGCATGCACAGTGCTTTGTAGTACTACGAATTGTAATACGCTAACTCAGTAAGCGCAGGGTGAGTGAGGTTAGACTGGCTCAGCAAAGGTGGGCAATAAAATAATTCCGTCAATTACATTTGTTACAACGGTTATTCTTACGTTTGGTGTGACAGGCTGTCTGTTTACTTCTAAATTACACCCTTATGTACAAAGAATGACCGGGGTTACTAATCCACTGGCGGCGTAGGATCTGAATGCAGGTCAGCACGATTGCTCGACGAGAACGCTACCACTACGCCACACACAGTAGCCAGGTAGGACAGGTAGGGCAAACCGTATTACCTGGGGGTGCTCTCTGCTCAACGCCAGTAAAGTTTTATTCAGCTGCGATCGCCTATAATCCGTTTTAGTTTTGTCGAGGTCATGGATACACTTGACAAGTTATACCAGGGTGACAAGACTGGTGATGGCAATTAGTACTGATAACTAATATGCAATAATGTTATTCGGATATGTTGCACTCGACTACTCAATCATTTTTTTAAGTGCATCATTCCCTCGTTTAAAATTGGAACATAGTAAGTACTCTCGAGGGGCGCATTTATGGATGTTTTACATCTGGCAAATTTCTAAACTGGATTTGGTGGCGAGATACGACCTGCCGTCCAGGACACACTTCATACAGAAATGTGTGTGTGTGTGTGTGTGTGTAAAAAGATATATATACATATTTAAATATATGCATATATAAATGCATGTATATGTTTATATATATGTAATTACATATACATATAAACACATATACATGCATATATTATATATATATTATATATATATATAAATATTATATATATATAAATATTATATATATATATATATATATATAATTTATACAAACGTATGTATACGTAGAATACAGAATCACTCAAAACGGTCAAGTGTTGATTCCCAGAGAATTTCGATCGGTTTTACGAATAAAGAATATCTACTATCATGCGTTTCTTTGACATACCGTCACAACGTGTCATACCTGTAGTTCTCACAAGAAAATACCTGTTGAATACAATAACTTACCTTCCAACGAAAGAGTATCAAAAAATACCAAAAGGTGACACAAACGCGAGAAATCTGTCGTGACGTCACGGTATATAAACGCGGAATATTTGCCTGCCGTCACGCGTACAGCACTGTCAAGGTGATCCGTCTACTATTCAGCGCCATTCAAATCATTTCACGGTACGGCGGAGGAGGCCAGCGTACCTTCACATATAATGGAAATACAATTACCCGCGGTCTCTATGCATGAGTCACTTTGAAGCCTACGAAATCCAAGTCGAATATTGGTGCTGTTAATGTTCAAACGATTGGGAAGCGTAAGAGAATATATTATTTCGAAATTGCCTTTGCTATTTCCGGTTGAAAGGGCGACTTGAGATGAACCTATATCAATCTACTAACATTTTCAACAGAAAGGGAATAAACACGGCGTCGGACATTTCCTGTGATAATTAGCACTCGGTTAAAAGAGCAATTACTTTCCGCACAACAATAATACGTGAATTAACAGACAGTTAAGAGTAAAATCAATATACTTTGGCCATGCTAATTATTAAGGTTATCAGCAGCGTATATTCTCTTCGTTTTTTTTTTTTTTTTTTTTTTTTTGGGGGGGGGATACTAAAATACTTATTTAAAATATCGAACCATACAACAGTTCGAATACAGACTACGTGGTCTGCATTTATAAGTACAAATTAAGTCAACTACACTTGTAAACAAAACACGCACACCATTAGTTTTCACGACTGTGTGTGTGTGTGTGTGTGTGTGTGTGTGTGTGTGAGTGTGAGTGCGAGTGTGAGTGTGAGTGTGTGTGTGTGTGTGTGTGTGTGTGTGTGTGTGTGTGTGTGTGTGTGTGTGTGTGTGTGTGAGTGTGAGTGTGAGTGTGAGTGTGAGTGTGAGTGTGTGTGTGTGTGTGTGTGTGTGTGTGTGTGTGTGTGTGCGCGCGTGTGCGTGTGAGTGTGAGTGAGTGCGTGTGTGTGTGTGTGTCTGTGTGTGTTTACGTATGCGTGTAACCAGCATGTCCTTCAGTGTGCATCCACCGTCGACGACTCCCTCTCCACACCTCATTGGGCACCGACGCTAATAAAAGGAAAACAAAAACAAAAAAAACAAACCGGGGCGCAGAGCTAAAGTACGTACCGTTCTATCTTCGAGATACATAGTTTTGGACAGGAAGTCGATGCCGATGGTCGCCTGAAAAGAGAAGAGGAAAAGCATCCGTCAGTAAAACGTAAAACCACGTACATAAAATGCTCAATGTTCTCGTCCATACATACGAGAAAATACACCAAGGATTACGACACCGATAGAATGGAAGGAGAGAGAAGAGAGGCGAATAAGAAGGATGGGGAAGAGAAAAAGGAAAAGGGAGGAAAGGGGGACGGGGAGATCGCGGAGGAAGGAGGAGGAGAAAAGGGAAAAGGGAGGAAAGAGAGAGAGAGAGAGAGAGAGAGAGAGAGAGAGAGAGAGAGAGAGAGAGAGAGAGAGAGAGAGAGAGAGAGAGAGAGAGGAGATGGAGAAGGAAGAAAAGGAACGGGGACGATGATGAGGAAGATGACGAAAAGAGAAGTGAAGCAGAAGGATAAAGAGAAGGGAGGTGAAGAAGGAAAAGGGGGGAGGACAGAGAGAGGGAGGGTAAAAAGAGGAAGAGAGAGAGGAGAGGAGACAGAGAGACGTCGCGCACCGCAGAGGGAAAGAGGCTAAAAGAGAGTGAGTCAGACAGCAACAGGGAGGGGGAGGTTCAGGGAAGGGAGGGGGGGGAAGGCAGGCGGCAAGCGAGATCGATCGGATGCTTTCCAATGCTGCAACAATCTATAAAATGCTTGTAAAGAGGGTGGGGAGGAGGCGGGGAGGAGGAAAGGGCAATAAAAGTTGAAATCTCCAGCAGAAAACACAGACATGATACGTTAGATGCCAGGACATAGTAACCGAATAAACAAATAAACAAACAAACAAAAGCAAACGTACAGATAAATTGATAAGCGGGGTGCTTAAAGGGGGATTGGTGGCATGAGAGCTATCCAAATCCCTCTCACCTCCCCGGCATCCTGCAACTCCCCCCCCCCTCCCCTCCCCACGCATCACTCCTTAGCCTCATCCTTCCTCGTCCAACTTTTGACCCCTCCCTCCCCCCTCCCCCCTCCCCCTCACCTCCCTCCCTTACCCCCCCTCCCCCCGCTCTACAAGCCACCATCTCCAATACATATCTTGTTAGAATGAAAATTTATCTCCCCCCCCCATATTTGAAGTCCCACTCCCTTCCCCCCCTCTTCCCTCCTTGACGAGTGTCTTTCCTCCCAATCCTCTTTCACCTACCGCCCCCCCCTACTCTCTTTCCACCTCCCTCCCCCTCCTTCCTCCCCACCGCCACCTCCCCTTCTCCCCCTTTCCAACCCCTCCCTCCTCCGCGCCCCGGCTTCCAAGTTTCTTTGCCCTCCCCTCCCTCCCTTTCCTTCCACCCCTCCCATTTTTCATTCCTTCGCCTCCCCCCCCTTCCCTCCCTTTCCTTCCACCCCTCCCATTTTCCATTCCATCGCCCCCTCCCCCTTCCCTCCTTCCCTCCCTCCCTCCCTCCTCCCCTTCCCTCCTCCACCACCCCTTCCCCCCTCCACCAACCCTTCCCCCCTCCCTTTTCACTCCGGCACGAGGGACTGCGGGTCGAGAATACAAAGTTATGTCTGTCGCGGGTCATGGTTAGTATCTTCGGGCGCGGGGGGGGGGGGGGGGTTGTGTTAAGAGAGAAGACAGACACATGAAAACTAATACCGGTGTGTGGGGGAGTGGGGGGGGGGGGCAAGACATACATACGTAATAGGCAAAGAGAAGGGTGTATATAGAACATCCAAAAACAGATCAAAAGTATGAAATTACAATAACAATGAGAGGTTATGCTAATCATAATATCAACACCAATAGTAATCATGACCGTAAAGATGATGACTGACGTTTGATGACTGATAATGCCGGCAGTTGTAGTAGTAGTAGTATAATAAAAATTACTACTACTACTACTACTACTACTACCAACAACACAAACAGTTTAATAAACAAAACCGATAAAACGCAAGGGCCAAACGAGACCGCCCTCCCGCCCCAAACCCGCGCCCGCTCTCGCCAGCCCAACCCCCCCCACCCCTCCCTCCACGGCGCACGCAATAACAACCGGTTATCTTTTCCCTCATCAAGAGATCCTGTGCTGATGACCGCAATTTCGTCAGCGATCCAGAGCGTGACAGCCAATCGCTGACGCCGCTCGATCTGCAGCAGCGCCACTTTCCCGTCGCCCCTTTCACTCTCGTCTTGGTTTCTTTTCTTCTTTCTTTCTTTCTTTCTTTCTGTACTTTCCTTTTCTTTTTCTCTATTTTTCTCTCTCTTTCGTTTCTTTTCTTCTTTCTTTCTATACTTTCTTCTTGTCTTTATCTCTTTCTGTTGTCGTCGTCGTCGTCGTCGCCCTCCATCTGCTTTGCTTTCGTCTCTCTTTTAGCCCTCGTTCTACCCTTTCTTTCCTTCTGTCTTCTCTCTCTCTCTCTCTCTCCCTCCCTCCCCTCCTCTTCTCACGTTCCCTCTCTAACCCTCCCCTCCTCCTTTCCCCTCTCCTCTCCTTCCCTCTCCCTCCCCTTCTCCCTTCCTTTCCCCCTCCCCTCTCCTCTCCTTCCCTCTCCCTACCCTCCTCCCTTCCTTTCCCCCTCCCCTCCCCTCCCTTCCCCTCTCTATCCCTCTCCCCTCGGCTCGTCCCAGCTGCCGACTCTCGCTGGCCCGAAGATCTCCTTAGTATTCCAACCGTCACAATGGCGCATCCTTTCCCCTCTTCCGGTTTCCCTCCGCCTCTCCCACTCTCGCTCTTTCTGCGTCTGCCTATGTCTGTCTGCGTGTGTGTGTGTGTGTCTGTCTGTCTGTCTGTGTCTCTTCTTCTTCTCCTCCTTTTGTCTGTATGTCTTGTCTAATTCCGCCATTTCTGTTTGTCGGTTCGCCTCCCGTCCCTGCATTCTCTCCTCTTCCTCCTTTCTTTTACATTTTTTTCCTCCTCTTTCTCCACCCCCTCCTCCTCATTCTCAATTTCCCCTCCCTCCTTCCCTCCTTCTCTCCCCCCTCCCTCCTGCAAAGACCATAAACGGCTATTTTTCCAGGAACGCCTCATGCTGTTCTCCTGGTGGTCCAGAACATTCTCTGAACGGGATCGGGGGAGTGGGGGGGGGGGGGAGTTGCAGGGGGGGATAGAGAGGGGGGCGAGAATAACGGAGGGGTGGGTGGGTAGAGGGAGAACTAGTGGGAGGGAGGGAAGGAAGGAAGGAGGGAAGGAGGGAAGAAAGGAAGAAAGGAAGGGAAGCGAGAGAGGGAAGAAAGGAAGGGAAGCGAGGGAGGGAATGGAGTGAGGGAGAGAGGGAGGGAGGGAAAGAGGAAATGCAAGAGATCCTATGCGCTTTAGGAATATTTCTGGGAAAAAGTGGAGCTCCATTAAAACCTTCTCGAGCATTCCACGAGCGGGAGGGAAAGATGGCGAACCACTGGCCTTCTTTGCCAAGAAGCTTGTTTCCAGAATATTCCCTTGGCTGGAGGATTCGCAGGCTATCCAGAATCTTCGACGCCTGAGGAGGGCTGATGGCTCCGCAGCGTGACACCAGAGAAGAGAGGGAAGAGAGGGAAGAGAGGGAAGAGAGGGAAGAGAGGGAAGAGAGGGAAGAGAGGGAAGAGAGGGAAGAGAGGGAAGAGAGGGAAGAGAGGGAAGAGAGGGAAGAGAGGGAAGAGAGGGAAGAGAGGGAAGAGAGGGAAGAGACCGAGGGAGGAAGAGAGGGGGAATTGGGAGGGGAAGGAAAAGAGAGAGAGAGAGAGAGAGAGAGAGAGAGAGAGAGAGAGAGAGAGAGAGAGAGAGAGAGAGAGAGAGAGAGAGGCGAGAGAAAGAGAGAGGAGAGAGAGAGAGAGAGGGCGAGAGAGAGAGAGAGAGGGCGAGAGAGAGAGAGAGGAGAGAGAGAGGGCGAGAGAGAGAGAGAGAGGGCGAGAGAGAGAGAGAGAGGGCGAGAGAGAGAGAGAGAGACGAGAGAACGAGAGAGAGAGAGAGAACGAGAGAGAGAGAGAGACGAGAGAGAGAGAGAGAACGAGAGAGAGAGAGAGAACGAGAGAGAGAGAGAGAGCGAGAGAGAGAGAGAGAACGAGAGAGAGAGAGAGAACGAGAGAGAGAGAGAGAGAACGAGAGAGAGAGAGAGAGAACGAGAGAGAGAGAGAGAGAACGAGAGAGAGAGAGAGAGAGAGAACGGAGAGAGAGAGAGAGAGAACGAGAGAGAGAGAGAGAGAACGAGAGAGAGAGAGAGAGAGAACGAGAGAGAGAGAGAGAGAGAGAACGAGAGAGAGAGAGAGAGAGAGAGAACGAGAGAGAGAGAGAGAGAACGAGAGAGAGAGAGAGAGAGAGAACGAGCGAGAGAGAGAGAGAACGAGAGACGAGAGAGGAGAACGAGCGAGAGAGAGAACGAGCGAGAGAGAGAACGAGCGAGAGAGAGAACGAGCGAGAGAGAGAGAGAACGAGCGAGAGAGAGAACGAGCGAGAGAGAGAGAGAACGAGCGAGATGAGAGAGAGAGAACGAGCGAGAGAGAGAGAGAACGAGCGAGAGAGCGAGAGAACGAGCGAGAGAGAGAGAGAACGAGCGAGAGAGCGAGAGAACGAGAGAGAGAGAGAGAGAACGAGAGAGAGAGCGAGAGAACGAGCGAGAGAGCGAGAGAACGAGCGAGAGAGAGAGCGAGAGAGCGAACGAGAGAGAGAGCGAGAGAGCGAACGAGAGAGAGAGAGAGAGAACGAGAGAACGAGAGAGAGGGCGAGAGAGAGCGAGAGAGAGAGAGAGTGAACGAGAGAGACAGACAGAGAGAGAGCACCCCGACCGCGCTGGATTCTAGAACATTCCCAAGCAGGATTCAATATCGCTCACGCTAACGGGGCAGGATCGGGGGCGCCACTGCTTTTGGTAATCACGAGGGGGGAGAGGGGGTGTCGATAACTCATTTCTCCATAAACATAAGTACATCCATTATACACAGTACACGAATACACCCATAAACAATGTACACAAACAAACAAACAAACGCTAATGATATGCCACGTGCTATCCCAACCAAATCTTACAGAAAAGTGAGTCCATTCGAATACACATTCCTTTCCTTTGCCAAACTTAACCGCATTTCAAAAAAAAATTTGCAGAAAAAAAGAA